AACAACAACAACAACAACAACAACAACAACAACAACAACAACAACAACAACAACAACAACAACATCAGCAGCAGCAGCATCAGCAGCAGCAGCAATGTTTTCTCTTGGTGGTCGTATAGATTTGCTGCGCTGTTTACGCAGCAGGAACTGCCGATTTGTTGCTGCAGTCTGCGGTGCTTCGCTGTGTCTCTGGTGCTCTTCTCAGCACATCCCCCCAGGGCATGTCGGCCTCATCTGCAGCAGGAAAGATGGTATGCTGCTGCTGCTGCTGCTGCTCCTAGTATGCTGCTGCTGTTGCTGCTGCTGTTGCTGTTGCTTCTGCTGTTGCTGTTGCTGCTGTCCCTGCTTTTGTTGTTGCTGTTGTTGCTGCTATTGCTGCTTTTGTTGCTGCTGTTGTTGTTGCTGTTGCCGCTGCTGCTGCTGTTGCAGCTGCTGTTGTTGCGCCTGCTGCTGCTTCTGCTGCTTATGTTGCTGTTGCTGTTGCTGCTGCTGCTGCTTATGTTGCTGTTGCTGCTGCTGCTGTTGCTTTAACTTCGATTCGATTGAATTAAAAAAATAAAAATACTGAAAACAAAACAAAACAAAATAAACAAAGACAAACAAAATAAACAAGACAAGACAAAACAAACAAACAAATAAATAAATAAATAAATAAATAAATAAATAAATAAATAAATAAATAAATATGTTTGCTGCTGCAGGGTCTGTACGCCCATATTTATTCGGCACCGGCGAATTATTTATTTTTAATTTTTTAACTTCTCGCGTTGTTTTGCTGCGAGTCGAAGCAACAAAGAAAAAGCTGCTTGTTCAAGCAAAAACAAAAGACAACCAAGATGTTGAGGCACGCCTCTCCTGCTGCTGCTGCTGCTGCTGCTGCTATTCCTGCTGCTGGTGCTGCTGCTGCTGCTGTTCCTGCTGCTGGTGCTGCTGCTGCTGGTGCTGTTGCTGCTGGTGCTGGTGCTGTTCCTGCTGCTGTTGCTGTTGCTGCTGCTGCTGCTGTAACTGCTGCTGCTGTTGCTGTTGTTGCTGTTGCTGCTTTTGTTGCGGGTGTACTGTTGCTGGTTGTGCTGGTATACAGGTCTGCTGCTGTTGCTGCTGTTGCTGCTGCTGCTCCTGCTGCTGCTAGTTGCTTCTCTTGTCCCTTCCTTATTCTTCCTGTTACCTGCCCTCTCTGCTCCTGCTGCTTCTGCTGCTGCTGCTGCTGCTGCTGCTGCTGCTGCTGCTACAGGTATTTTTTCAGTTGCGTGTGAGTCCTAAGCTTGCATTTGTCCCCGAAATTTTTGCTCAATTCGGCAAACAATTCGCCAAAAGGTAAATTCAATACAATGCAGCAGCAGCAGCAGCAGCAGCAGCAGCAACAGCAATATTAGTAGTAGTAGTAGTAGTAGCAGCAGCAGCAGCAGCAACAGCAATATTAGTAGTAGTAGTAGTAGTAGTAGCAGCAGCAGCAGCAGTAGCAACAGCAGCAGCAGCATTAGTAGTAGTAGTAGTAGCAACAGTAGCAGCATTAGCAGCAGCAAGAAGAGTAGCTCCTGTTGTTGCTGCTGCTGCTGCTGCTGGATCGTGTGTTGCTGCTGTTGCTGATCTGCTGCTGCTGTTGCTGGTAGTTTATTTAATTATTTGTTTTATTTATGTCTTTGTTTATTATTTATTTTATTTATTTATTTCCTTTTTATTATTTATTTATTTGTTTTTATTATTTATTTTAATATTTGTTCTTTCTTCGTTCAGCTGTTTGCTGCATCCCTTGTCTTATTTATTTACTATTAATCACTCTAATAATTAACTAATTAATTAATTAATTAATTAATTAATTTATTTATTTATTTATTTATTTTAGGTTCTTAGAAGAAGAGGTGAGGCCAGACGTGTGCAGCGTGTGCTGCCGATACACCCGAGAAGAGTTGCTACACAATGAAGACATCCAAGAAGAAGCAAAGCAGCAAATGCTGCAGCATATGCTTGATGCTGCTGCCTTCTATAAACTAATTATCACAGATACGGTTAGCCAGCAGACATACTCCAGCTGCTGCTCGTCCTGCTGTTCTTGCTGCTGCTGCTGCTGCTGCAGTTGTTGCTGGTACTGTTGCTGCTGCTGCTCGTACTTTTGCTGCTGTTGCTGCTGCTTTCTGCTGCTGCTGCTGCTAGTTGGTGACTGCCTGCAGTAGCGAAGGCCTCCACTGTTTTGCGTTTTCGTTTCTGTTGCTGCAGAAGATAATCGTGAGGGACCCAGACACAGAAGAGTAACTAGCAGCAGTTGCAGCAGCAACTGCAGCAGCAGCAGCAGCAGCAGCAGCAGCAACAGCAGGCTGTGTCTTTGCTGTTGTTGGACCTTTTATTACGCCTCCCGGGCAGCAACATGGTGCAGACAATATTAAAGCAAAAACACTAATAGAGCTGTCCTCACTACCGATTGCTACACTCTCTGCTGCTGCTGCTGCAGCAACAGCTGCTGCTGCTGCTGCTGCTGCAGTGTCATTTGACCATTACTTAGGAGACGTCTTCAGTTTCATATATTTAAAGCAAAAACCAAGAGAGAGACAGTGTAGAGACACTGCAGCTGCTGCTCTTGCAGCTTTTGCTGCAACTGCTGCTCCTGCAGCAGCTGCTGCTGGGGCTGCTGCAAGTGTAAAGATTGCTGCTGCATTTATTGCTGCTGCTGGAGCAGCAGCAGCAGCAGCGGCCTCAAGTTTTCTTGACCACTTGAATAACATCTTCATCAGCCAGCTCATGGCCTGTACGAACAGCAGCAGCAGCAGCAGCAGCAGCAGCAGCAGCAGCAATGGCTGCTCTAGCAGTACTAGCAGGAAGCTTAGCAGCAGCAGCAAATGCAGCAATAGCAACAGCAGCAACACCAAGAGCAGCAATAGCAGAAGCAGCACCAGCTGTAGCAGCCGCAGCAACAGGAGCCTTTGCGGCAGCAGCAGCAGCAGCAGCATCAGCAGCAGCAGCAGAAGCAGCAGCAGCAGCAGCAGCAAGTTGAGCGGACCCAGTCCAACAATTTGCGGCTGATGTTTGGCGCTCGCCCCCCAGACGAAAGCAAATTTAAAATCTCTTAGTAAATCCTTCATGCAAACCACACATCATGCAACACTAACTGCTGCAGCAGCAGCTGCTGCTGCTGATGCGGCAACAGTACCAGCAGCACCAGCAGCAGCGGCAACGGCAGCAGCAACGGTGACAACAGTAATGCCAGCAGGAACACCAGCAGCAACAACAGCAGCAGCAACTGCAGCAGCAACAACACCGGCAGCAACAACAGCAGCAGCAGCAACAGCAGCAGCAACCTTTGCGAACCTTATGAATGAAGGAGATGGCGTTGCCCACAGTACAGGGGCCTGCATACACCCCAAAGCACATACGAGCGCATGCTGCTGCTGCTTTTGCTGCTGCTGCTGCTATTGCTGTTGCTTCTTCTCCTCCTGCCTTGCTGTTGCTTCTCTCTTGATGCTGCAGCTGCTGCACCATCAGCAACTCCACCAGCAGCAGCAACCGCAGCAGCAACAGCAGAAGCAGCTGCAGCAGAAGCAGCCGCAGCACGAGCAACAGCACCCGCAACAGCAGGAGCAGCTGCAGCAGCACCAGCAACAGCAGGAGCAGCAGCAGGAGCAGCAGCAGCAGCAGATGTTGCTGTTGCTGTTACCTCTTTGTTGAGTGAGTACGATAGGCTGATGAAAGTCGGGCATCTCTCCTTTCTTTTTAGTGTACAGACGGCAGACATTTAGTCGCTGCAGCAGCAGCTGCTTCAGCTGATCCATGTTCCACTGTGCTTCGCTGCTTATCACCACGCTGTCAGGCCTGAGCAGCAGCAGCAACAGCAGCAGCAGCGGCAGCAGACGAGGCAGCAAAAACGAGAAAAAATGAGTCCAAACAGCAGCAGAAGCACCGAAAACCAATTCGAGGCAGCAGCAGCAGCAGCAGCAGCAGCAAAAGCAGCAGTAGCAGGAACTACTGCCTCTTATCTCTTTATTTATTTGGTTCTGTTTGTTTCTGTTGTTTATTTTGTTTAATTGTATTTTCGTCTATTTTGTTTGAATGCATGCATAAACCGTTTGGGGTGTATATGCAGCTCTGAGAATTTCTTTAATTTTCTTTTTAAAACTAATTAACTCTTTTATAATATAAATAAATATATTTTTTTAATTAAATTAATCTATGAATTTAATTAATTTAATTTAATTAATTTATTTAAGTTTATTTAAATTTTCTTTCTTACCTCCTTGCAAGGCTGTCTATTTCTTTAAGAGAGAGCATATCTGCTTTGTTGTAGACGTACAGACACCGCAGATATCTGCGATTGCCTTCAATAACATCAATAAATGCATCGGTCTGCATGCAAACACAGCAAGGGTTTAGGGTTTAGGGTTTAGTGTACAGGGTATGTGAACTCAGACTTCCAATTAGCGTTTATTATGAATTAGGGTTTATACATTAGGGTTTAGGGTTAAGGGTTTATTTACTAATTGGGGTTTATAAATAAGGGTTTAGGGTTTAGGGTTTAGGATCCGCAGGGTCTACGAATTAGCGTTTATAAACCCGGGTTTACGGTTTTGAACTAGGGCTTTTGAACTACAGTTTAGGGTTTAGGGTTTAGGGTTTAGGGTTTACAGTGCAGTCTTCCCGAACGACAACATCGGCATTGAATATTTTGTACTCGTGCAGAATCTGCTGCACCGCTTTGTGCGTCAACTGCAGCAAACCCTAAACCCTAAACCCTAAACCCTTAACCCTAGACCCTTCTTTAACCTCAGCTGCAGCTGATGCACCAGAGGCAGCAGCAGCCGCAACAGCAGCAGCAACAACAGCAGCAGCAACAACAACAGCAGGAGCAACAGCAGCAGCAGCAACAGCAGCACCAGCAGCAACAGCAGCAGCAACAGCAGCAGCAACAGCAGCAGAAGCCTGACCTCTGACTGGGGGACGATGAAATTTATTGTGAGGCCTCCCGATTTCTTCTGCTTGACGCTCACCTGCAAAACCCTAAACCCTAAACCCTCGCTGTCAATAAACCCTAAACCCTAAACCCTCGTAAACCCTAAACCCTCAACCATCGATGGTCGTAATAAGCCCTAAACCCTCTATGCTAATAAACCCCCTATCTTCGATGCTACAAACCCTGAAACCCTCGGTGCTAACGAACCCTAAACCCTAAACCCTCGATGCTAATAAACCCTAAACCCTCGATGCTACTAAACCCTAAACCCTAAACCCTTGCGGACGAACGTTTGGTGGTTTTTTGTTGAGGCGAATGCCCACAGCTTCCAACTCCCTGCAGCAAAATAAAAAGCTTAACAAACGCATCACTTCATGCAGCAGCAGCAGCAGCAGCAGCAGCAGCAGCAGAACCAGCAGCAGCAACACGTCAACATAGGCAGGTAAAGCAAAACCCAACTGCGAAAATGACAGCAGCAGCAGGACGAGCAACAGCAGCACGAGCAGAGTTAGAAGCAGCAGGACCACCAGCAGCAGCAGCAGCAGCAGAGTTAGGAGCAACAACAGCATCAGCGTTGGGAGGAGCAGCAACAGCAGCAGCAACAACAGCAACAGTAGCAGCAGCAGCAACAGCAACAGCAGCAGTAGCAGCAGCAGTTGTAGTAGCAGCAACAGCAGCAGCAGTAGCAGCAGCAGCAGCATACTGAGTTAAGAGTTTCATTTGGGTGTCATCCTTTGTGCTGTCGAGGACCATCAACACCATATCACACGAATGCGCAACAGCTATCACCTGCAGCAGCAGCAGCAGCAGCAAATAGAGAGAGTGAAGCACATGGACAGTAAATAAAACACAACACGAAAGCCGCTGGTAGATATCGCAACCAGCAGCAGCAGCAGCAGCAGCAAATGCCGACATAAAAGCTGCAGGAAGGCCCAGCAGCAAGAAACAACACTCACAGCACCAGCAGCAGCAGCCCGAGCAGCAGCAGGAGCATTCATAACAGCAGCAACACCTGCCCCAGCAGCAGCAACAGCAACCCCAGCAGCAGCAGCAGCCCTAGCATTCGCAGCATTCGTATCATCATCAGCAGAAGCCCTATTCGCATCAACATCAGCATCAGCATCAGCAGCAGCAGCATCAGCATCAGCAGCATCATCAGCAGCAGCAACATCAGCAGCAGCAGCAAAGCAGCACCACCACCACCTCCACCACCACCACTAACACCAGCATCAGCATCAGCAGCACGAGCAGCAGCAGCAGCATCAGCAGCAGCATCAGCAGCAGCATCAGCAGCAGCATCAGCAGCAGCAGGAGGAGGAGACCTGTCTGCCTCTGCCTCTGCCTGTGGCTGCCCCCTGAATAATGCCGGGTAAGTCCAGCAGCTGAATTTTGACTTCGTCAACCACCAGCATTGAAGGCTCGCACGTCAGCGTTGTAAATTCGTAGGCACCTGCATATAAAATATATATATATATATATATATTATTTATTTATTTATTTATTTATTTATTTATTTATTTATTTATTTATTTAGATAGATAGATGGATAGATAGATGTGTTTATTCTTTTGTTTATTTAATGTTTTGAATTACATATATAAGTGTGTTTAGAAGGCTTTAAAAGGGCTTAAAAGGGTTTAAATATAATATATTATATATATATATATATGTATATGTATATGTATATATATATATATATATATGTGAAGGGTTTATACTAGGAAAGGTGTAAGAAGGCTGATGAGTATTTGTTAGGCCAAACAAATTGAAGAAAATATTAAAAAGGCTGCGCTTACCGACTGCGCTTCTTTCTTTCGGCGCACTGTCTGCGTCTGTAGAGTCTGCTGTTAATACATTTAACAAGGTGCTCTTGCCTACAGAAGGAAACCCTATTAAACAAACTCGAGCGTCGCCTTGTCTAGCTACTTCAAACCCTTCTCCTTTGGGAGCGCTCCGGCTGTTGCCGCTCACCAACTCCGTGCTGCAGCAGCAGCAGCAACAGCAGCAACAGCAGCAGCAGCAAGGGTAGCAGCAGCAGCAGCAAGGGTAGCAGCAGCAGCAGCAAGGGTAGCAGCAGCAGCAGCAAGGGTAGCAGAAAGTGCATAAAGAAAAGTTAAGCTTTTATAAAACCTTTCTTTCTTTCATGTAATCAGCAGTAAATTGTCGACAGCGTTTATAACTGCTGGCTTAAGGGTTTAGGGTTTAGGGTTTAGGGTTTAGGGTACCGTAGGCGCGCAAGCTTTGCCTTGAGGCCTCCTAAATGATGCTGTTGTTGAGCAAACAAAAACAAAAAAATAAAGACGAATTGGGGTGTACATACACCGTGCGTATTTTCAATTTAATTTATAAATAACAACAAATAAATAAATAAATACAGATAAAGAAATAAACAAATAAACAAATAAAGATACATATATATATATATATAAACATATATATATAAACATATATATATATATAGGAATGTAAAAGTAGATATATAAATATATATGCACATTATGTATATAGATATACAATATATATATATATATATATACATAGAGAGAGAGAGAGAGAGACAGAGA